GTCAGGTCCGGCTGGTCTGAAAAATTTAACCTGCTGGAAAAGATTAGACAGCATTCAGTATTTTATTGTTGTTGCTTCGTTTCTAAGACGCAAAACATTTTCTTAAAATTATCATGAGAATATTCAAAACAATATTGCTGTAACAAATAAGTTGCATTAAAAAATCAAAATGCGTGTTTGCCAATGGAAATAGTATTTGTCAATATGATGATAATGTGTCAAAAATCAACTTTTTTCTGTGTCCAGGTTTTCTAAAATCTATTTCTTAAGTATCACAATCACCACCACCACCAGTAATATTTACTGAGTGCCTATTATGTGCCAGGCAATGAGAAAAATATGTAAGCATGTCACATTAGTAATTAAGTATCAACATATTGAACCCGAATCTCACACTATTCTGTGAAAGAGCTTATGTTATTATCCTCTTGTACAGATGAGGAAACGGGTAGAGTGGTGCAACTCGACTCAGTATCTAATGGATGCAGGCAAGCAGACAACACAGCTTGTGTTCTGACTCTCAGGGGAGAGGGCACGAGCCTGCTGGACCCACGAAGTGGAGGGAGGAAATCCAAACAGGCGGTTTCTCTGTGTGGCTAATCCTTAATCTCACAGTCCTTCGTTTCTGCACCTGTTCAAATCCACTCTTTATCATTAGAAAGCATGAGTTTACACTCAAATCTAATGTTCTTTTAGCATCATTTTGTAGAATATTAAGACCCAGTAGTTTCAACTCCCAAAATGAAAAGAACTGAGCTATTCTCACAAGAAGAAACTAATCCATAAAACAAGTTTATATTTATAGACCTAAAGGAAACAAAAAGATAAAGCCAAACCCTGTCAACTCCTAGGCAGAGCGGCCCTGAAGGATTGAGTAGAACTGCCCCGTGGGATTTCTAAGATTTGGGTCTATAAACAGGAACAGGCAAGAATTCAACAGTTGGTTGTGGTTGTGGAAGTACTGCCCGGCCGGCCGGGTCTGGCTCATCGCAGCTGGTGAACAGCTGTCGCCTCTACGGAAGCGGACCGCCATGTCTCCTCACGTTCAGACTGGGTAGATCAGACTGCAGCAGACACACGCACATTCCCGTCTCAAAAACCGATGTACAAGACCGATATTCTTTAAACACGCCGATGTTTCCACTCTAAACTTCGCCGGCCTAGCTCGGGAGGCGACCGTTAAGCACAGGCTGCCGTTTTGCTAGACTGTGCAGTCCAGTGAGCCCGAGCTGCCCTTCGCTCCTATTGACTTGGGAGGACTGCGGGCTTCTTTCCACGTGGGAGGGAGAGTGCGTTTGGCAAAGGGCCACTGCACGTGGCTGCGGAACCACGCGAGTGCTGCACACACCGAAGAGAGCTGGTTCCCGGGGCCTCACGGGAGCTGCCAATCTTCTAGCGTATTTCCGGTGATGAAGACACTGCCGAGTGCAGACCCACCGGCCATTCGGCGGCACTCGACAGCAGGAAACTAGCACCTCGGCCTGCCCCTCTCCGGAAACCACACAGGCCTGCGTGCGAGCAGAGAGGCCCACGGCGCAGGAGGCTGAGAGAGAACCGGAAGGCATCCCAACAGGTGTGCTCGGTCGCGGGAGCCGGGCTTACCTGTTCCAGGTATCTCTGGGAGGCCGCAGCAGAGGGATGACCGTGTTGCTCAGGCACTCGCACAGCGGGCAGAGGAACTCGCCGTTCTCGACGTCGTAGCTGGTGTGTAC